TGCACAATGTTTTTTTTGTTTTTTTTTTTTTATACAATTGCAACATGTTATTTTTTTAATAAAAATTTATATTTGTTTTAGTTATTTTTTAATATAGAAATTATTTTTTTTTAGATTTTAATGAATGCATAGTGTAAATTTTTTTTTCTTCACAATTGCAACATGTTATTTTTTTAATAAGAATTTAAATTTGTTTTAGATTTTTTTTAATATACAAATTATTTTCTTTTAGATTTTAATAAAATGTACAGTGTAATTTTTTTCTCTCTTTTTTCTTTGCAATTGCAACCTGTTAGTTTTTTAATAAAAATTTATATTTGTTTTAGATATTTTTTTAATATACAAATTATTTTTTACAGTGTAATTTTCTCTCTCTCTCTCTCTCTCTATTTTTTGGCAATTGCACCTTGTTATTTTTTTAATAAGAATTTATATTTGTTTTAGATATTTTTTTTAATATACAAACTATTTTTTTAGATTTTTCATAAAAATAATTTAACAATCCCATTACTAACCATAATGTATGGGAGAAATTGAAAATGATGCGGTAGTTGGCATGCCAGAAGTTAAAAAACTTTGTGGGTTGGGAGAAGTCAATAAATGTTGAGGCTTTTTTTTTTTAAATCAAAAAATTAGAATATTAAGATTGGAATATTGAAGCTCCCATAAGGTTTGTGGGTTAGAAATTTCATTTTCCTTACATAATATATAGATATAGATAGATAGATAAATTATGAGATTTAGGAAAGAGATAAATATTAGGAGAGAGATTTTAAGAACTTATAATTCAATTATTTTAAAAAAAATCTATACTTACTTTGTGAGCCAATAGTATTATTTTTAAGATTACAAAAATTAGCAATTTTAGGTTGTTATTTTTTTAATGTACCGTTACTTTGTTAGCCAATAATACTATTTTTAAATATTTTTAAAATTACAAAAATTAGCAATTGTAATTTTATGTTCTTTTTAATCTATGGCATTTTTTTAATTTATTTTAAATATATAACTATTTTGTTATGAGATGAGATTTTTTTTTTTTTTTCAATGTATAATTATTTTGTCATGGGATGAGATTTAGAAAATATAGAAATATTGGGGACAGATTTTAGGAACTTTTAATTCAAAATTTTAGGTGATTCTTTATTTTTTTTCTCTTTAATTTATAATTTCTTTGTTAGCCAATAAAATTATTTTTAAATATTTTTAAAATTATAAAAATTAATAATTATAAAATGAGACTTTAAATTCTCACAAACCTCGTCAATAAAAAACTCATTTTTTTTATATGTTATATAGATAAATAGATACGTAGATAGCAAGTAAAACGTGTGAGAGGGAGAGATGGAGATTGTTTTTGACTTATATTAAAAGTTTGGGGTCTTTTCGTGTGGAGTTGGTCATTGTTTCATAATTAGATACTATGGGTAAATTTCATTGGGGAATTACTTTATAGTTAAAAAATAGGTTAAATATTTTAGAAGTTTATTAAATTTTTCTAAATATTTTATATGGACGTGAGATTTACATTATGTGGATTCAATATAAATTTCACATGAAACATTTAATAAAAATTTTGATAAATTTTTTAAAATCTCTAATATTACGAAAAAAAAAAATACACAAATATTAAAAAATGCAAGTATGACACATAAATTTCCACTTACACCCCCATCTCAAAACAACTTGTACCTCCATTATTGTTCCACTAACAAACAATTCCCCTAATTTCATTTTACTTACTGATGTGATATAGGTTGTGTGTATATAATCGTTATTATTTGGAGATATGCTTGTTTGGTTGAGTGTTTTTTTTTTTTTAACAAAATTATACAAAAAGTTCACATTTAATTCAATTAAAAAAAATTCGTCTTTTTTTTTTATATATAAATCTTTTTAAGAAGATAAATAAATTTTGAAATCTTGAAACTATTTTTGTGTGTTAATTTTCGTCAAACTAATTTTATATTTTGAAAAAAAAAAAAAAAACTTCTATTAATGGCACTTATAAATTGGCATTATACTTATCTTCTTCTCTTTTAAATTAAATCCTTCAATTCACCCTTTACAGTATACATTATGTGCAGATATAAAATATAGATATGTGTAATGCAATTTTTGTTAATTTCGCTAAAATAATGTCAGTCCTTTCTAATTCACAACCTGCAAAGTTAAATGATTATTTTTAAACCACATAAGATTGACCTTATGAGAAGAAGTAAAATGAAATTTATCCTAAATATATTCACTTGAAGAACACACAAAGGTTAAATGATTATTTTCAAATGATATAACAATATGTGCAAATGATTGACATGAAGTATATCGAAATTTGGCCTAATATATTCACTAAGGTTTGTTGGGATAGCTTTTTAGTTTTTTGACTTTTTAGTTATTTTAGTCTAGGGCTAAAAAGTCTTATTTAGAATAGGTTTTTTAGTTTTTTTAATTTTTATGAGAGAAAAAATAAAATAATTATAGTTTGGATGTGACATTTTGTCTTATTGACTTTTTAACTTATTTTGTCTTTTTATGACTAAAATAGCCAAAAAGCTAGACGTTTTGGCATACCAAGCGAAGGCAAACATAGAAATAAAAAAATAAAATTAAAAAAACGTTTGAGATGTTTCTTGTTAAGGTGGTCCTTTTTTTTGGGGGGGGTGTGTGCAACTATGTACATTCATATACAAGTTTTAGGAATTATCCTTGTGAAAAATGTTTTGGGTCCTCATATCACATCTTCAATGAAATCAACCACTCATACTTGGCTTGATTTGCATCGCATACACAAATATTAAAAAATGCAAGTATGACTCATAAATTTCCACTTACACCCCCATCTCAAAACAACTTGTTCCTCCATTATTGTTCCACTAACAAACAATTCCCCTAATTTCATTTTACTTACTGATGTGATATAGGTTCTGTGTATATAATCGTTATTATTTGGAGATATGCTTGTTTGGTTGAGTGTTTTTTTTTTTTTTTAACAAAATTATACAAAAAGTTCACATTTAATTCAATTAAAAAAAATTCATCTTTTTTTTTTATATATAAATCTTTTTAAGAAGATAAATAAATTTTGAAATCTTGAAACTATTTTTGTGTGTTAATTTTCGTCAAACTAATTTTATATTTTGAAAAAAAAAAAAAATTCTGTTAATGGCACTTATAAATTGACATTATACTTATCTTCTTCTCTTTTAAATTAAGGGTATGGCTTATGTTCAGTCCGGGATCAGACTGGACTGTGCTGTTGGGCCCGTCACGGGCCCATCACAGGTTCCGTTTTGATAATCCGAACCGTTAATGTGTAAAACTCGTCGAGTACTATATGTTTAGAAAAAATCACGTTGATCAGATATCGATAGCTATATGATCAAAGCAGTTTCGTATTAAAAAAATTGGACGGTGAACAAATTAACGGTTGACAAAAAAATGTTTTGATCACATAGCTATCGATATCTGATCAACGTGATTTTTTACAAGAATATAGTACTCAACGATTTCTACACATTAAACGGTTCAGATTATCAAAACGGGACCCGTGGTGAGCTCCCACAGGGCCAACAATACGGTCTAATCTGATTCCGGACTGAATCATTCAATTCACTCTTTACAGTATACATTATGTGCAGATATAAAATATAGATATGTGTAATGCAATTTTTGTTAATTTCGATAAAATAATGTCAGTCCTTTCTAATTCACAACCTACAAAGTTACCTTATAAGATTGACCTTATGACAAGAAGTAAAATGAAATTTACCCTAAATATATTCCCTTGAAGAGCACACAACGGTTAAATGATTATTTTCAAATGATATAACAATATGTGCAAATGATTGGCATGAAGTATATCGAAATTTGGCCTAATATATTCACTAAGGTTTGTTTGGGATAACTTTTTAGTTTTTTGACTTTTTAGTTATTTTAGGCCTAGTTTGGGATCTACTAAAAAAGATAAAAATTCAAAAAATTACTCAAAAAGCTAAAAAATTATCACTATTTATCCAAAAAAAATTAAAAAATATTTTTTCACACATCAATTCACACAGCCGTACAACTCATCATCTTCACCCGTAAAGCTTGTGCCGTGTTTGAAAGGAAAAATTGCACAGTTTGGTTTAATTTTCACACACTGTTGTTCGGCCAATGGGGGCCCATCACGGGTCCCATCTTGATAATATGAACCGTTTAATGTGTAGAACTCATCGAGTATTATATGTCTGTAAAAAATTACATTGATCGGATATCGATAACTATATGATCAAATCAGTTTTGTATAAAAAAATAGATGGTGTTATAATTAACGATTGAAAAAAAACACATATGATCAGATAGCTATCGATATCCGATCAACGTAATTTTTTATAATTATATAGTACTCGACGAGTTCCACACATTGAACGGTTCAGATTATCAAAATGGGACCCATGATGGCCCCCACGGTCCGAAAAAAATCGTTCAGTGCAATGCCTGAAAATTAACCAATAATTTCTTACCATCAATTCCTCTACACAGATTGTACTGCTGTTGACTTTTCATTTCTAATCTTCCTCTACACACTTCTTTATACAATTTTTTAATACATATTTTTTCATAAAAAGTTAAAAAGTTAACCCAAACATTCACATTTTTTTCCTCAACTTTTTAGTCAAAAAAGACAAAAAATGCACTTATTTAGGACATCCCAAACAACCCCTTAGTCTAGGGCTAAAAAGCCTTATTTAGAATAGGTTTTTTAGTTTTTAAAATTTTTATGAGAGAAAAAATAAAATAATTATAATTTGGATGTGACATTTTGTCTTATTGACTTTTTAAACTATTTTGTTTTTTTATGATTAAAATAGCCAAAAAAAACTAGACTTTTTGGCATAGCAAGCGAAGGCAAACATAGAAATAAAAAAATAAAATTAAAAAAACGTTTTGAGCTTATATAGAGCTTAGATGTTTCTTGTGAAGGTGGTCCTTTCTTTTTTTTTGGGGTTTTTTTTTTTCGCTAAAATACAACTATGCACATTCATATACAAGTTTTAGGAATTATCCTTGTGAAAAATGTTTTGGGTCCTCATATCACATCTTCAATGAAATCAACCACCCATACTTGGCCTATAAATACAAATCTCAGCAAGAGCTTGACTTGCATCGCATACTAAGAAATTGTGTTAAGTCCTTTCCAAAGTAGATATTATCCTTTGGCCCCAAGGCTCCAGGAGAAGAGGATCCTTATAATCAAAGGTATGCCCATATGTATTCACTAAAACACTCCTTTTTATTTATTTATTTATAGCAAACAACAATAAAATAGCACTTGGTGATAATTATTTGGAATTAAAATTTTGAAGGGTAACATAGTTCAAAATTTTATGAATTGCAGAAAAAAAGAAGAACGAATGGCTGATCAACTTTCAAATGAGACAATCATTACAGGAATGAAGAAACTTCTCAGGTTCTCACAAAATACCAAAATACGCTTAATTTTTTTAGGATAGATTATATTTGTGATCTCTATAATTTGTCTCTTTTATTAATTCGGACCCTATAATTATAGTTGTATTAATTTTATCCTTTAATTTTTCACATTTTGCTAATTTAATTCAATTGATAACACTTATCAAGAAATTAAGGGCAAACTGGTTTATTAAAAAAAGAATTCATCATTTCAAATTAATTAGATTTCAATATCGCAATCTCTTTGAGGAGAGTGAAATTATTAATTTTCTTATTAACTTTAGTTCAATTTTTAAAATGATGTTATGAATTAAATTAAATTGACGTAATGTGAAAAAATTAATAGTAAAATTAGTACAATTAGAGCTGTAAGGATCAAATTAACACAAAAGAAACCAATAAGGACTATGACTGAAATTTTCCCAATGTTTTATCAATTCACAGTTCTTATACCATGGGTTGAATTAATATGCTTTGGAGTCGTGATGAAAATTTTATAACAATAATGATGTGATAGTGACCTTATTAAAAATATAAATCATTTTAATAGATTATTTATTTTAAAAGTGATAAAATCAAAATTAATCACATTATTTTTTTCTAGATTATGATTATTTTTTTTTCTTCTATATTACTGATGATAATTGAATTCAATTAATGATGTTGGATTGCAGAGACGATGGAGACAATGAGTCCAAAGAGGAAATAGCATTGAGAAGGATTGATGTGGGCAGCCCAGTTGAAATTATTAGAAGGGGGTTCCTTCACTTCAAGGCCACTGAATTTGAGTATGTTATACAATACTACAAGGTTCTATAATTTTTTTAAAATTTTGAAATTTATGGGTATTGGTTGAAAAAAAAAAGTTACTGAATTTGAGTAAGTTGTACAATATTACAACGCCTTATAATTTTTTTTTTTAAATTTTGAAATTTATGTGTATTGATTAAAAAAAAAAAAAAAAGTTACGTAGAAGTTAGGGAAGAATATCCATTTTTTAATTATCAAATTTCAGCACAAACAAACCAATATGGTCTAGTATTATTGTTTTAACGGGGTGTCAATAGCTAGTAAGATCGACCCATGAGCTTGTGATACTCGTTAACCCTTTAAAAAACATGGTCTATCAACTAGAACTATAATTGGAAAAGAATGACAGGATCAATGATTTTGCACTTTTGGATCATTTGATTTTACTTCAATTTATTATTTATGCTTTTACTTTGCATAATCTGTTTTCTAAATTATCTGGGATTTTGGATGACTTTGCAGCAAAGAACTTGCTGAAGGCCAGAAACCCCAAGTATGTTGAGTTTTTTTTTACTAGTAATCACATTTTCCTAACCCATATCCCATTGATAAATTTCTTATTTTTTTGGGTATTGATTTGCGCCGATCGTAGTTTTTGGTGTTTGCCTGCTCTGACTCCCGGGTCTGTCCATCTCGTGTCCTCGACTTCAAACCAGGACAAGCCTTCATGGCTCGCAACATCGCTAACTTGGTCCCGGGATTTAACAAGGTCCAAATTCAAACACTCCTAACTCATTTTGTGTTTCAATTCAAATATCATCCTCTGGTCAATTCTTATAGTATTGCACATTGATTGTGTATGGATAATGAAGTGTTGTCTTTGTTGCACAGCTTAGGTACTCGGGAGTTGGTGCGGTCATTGAATATGCGGTCGCAGCTCTTGGGGTAACTATCGTGCCAGTTTCTAGGCCATTGACTGGCTATTTTACTATTTTGCTCTTGTTTTCGGTTTGAAGTCTTGAGTTCTACAAATTTCATATTTCAAAATTTTCATTCAAAAATTTTCAATTAACTCTCTCCTTAATCTTTAACTACAGTAGCTTTTAGGGGAATTTTGACAATTTAACCCTTTGAAAGACGTGGAAAAGTATAATTGACCATCTAAAAATCAAGTTGAGCAAGTTGTCTCTTGGAATTTAAAAAAAAAAATGCAATTATCCATCTAAAAGATCAATTTCAACAAATTACTGCTTGAAAGATGTTTCAAAAGTTCAATTTGGCCAGGGAAAGTTGATGAAAAGTACAAATCGTTTCCTGAAAGATGTTCAAAGGCACAATTAGTTGGGGGGAAATTACTACATTTAATTAATTTCATGGGTAATTTGCTCTGATTCATCTTTTAAGAGGGAATTGCACTATAAAACATCTTTCAAGGAGTAATTTGTTCAAATTGATCTTTTAAAGGACTAGGAGCGTTTTTGAGCATATTTCAGCTGCAAATTTTCAAAGTCTCCTTGGTTTTTATAATGCCCACGAGCTCTAACAATGAAAAATTACATGATAGGTGGAAGTCATTTTGGTCATCGGACACAGTCGATGTGGTGGGATTAAGGAACTTATGGACCTTCCCGCGGATGGGGCAACTTCCTAGTAAGGCCTCTTAGGCATGTTGTGGCTTGGGGGGAAATTGTAGCTTCCTAGAAGAAATGTTCTTGATCACATCTATGCACGAATTAGTAAATTTTTATGGTTTTTGCATAAAAGCATGTTCTTGATCACATCTATGCACGAATTAGTAAATTCTCGCAATATGTTCAAATTGGATTTCCTTTGTGAACTGCAGTGACTTCATACATGACTGGATCAAAATTGGTTTACCAGCTAAGGCCAAGGTGGAAGCTGAGCTTCCAGATGCAAAAGATGAAGAAAAATACGCGAGATGTGAAAGGGTGAGCTCCCACCCTTAACATGGTTTCTCCATTTTGGCACCATGGTGATTGTAGAATAAAATTTTCTCAAGAAAAGAACAAGAAAATAGAAAATTGAATTTCAAAAGAAAATATAGATTTGTTAGTAGAACTCTAAAATCTGTTAGAAAGTAGCATAACTTACATTGTTAAATACACTATTGATTCTCAAAATATGTGTTGTGCTTTTTTTAATCCCTAATATTTCGGTTGTGTCTTTTGAGTCTCTAAATAATCCAATTTGTGTTTAAATGGTTCCTTAGCACCGTTTCCATCCAAAATTAGACAAAAACATGTCTGCTTCCATTATAAAATTTGAACATAAATAACGTGTCAATCATGTAAATACAAATTGAATAAGTTAAAGATTAAATTCACACAGTTAGAAATAAATCAAAAATCAAAATGACACATACCTCATACTTTGGAAAACATCAATGTTTTAACCCTAAATAGAATCAATAGACTTTAGGTTGTTTCAATGCATGAAAATCTTGTCATTATATGTCTAGAAAAAAATACCAATTGTAAGCAGTCTCTCTTTTTTTTTTTTTTTTTTGGAAACCATAATGTATTCTACAATGTTGATTCAATGTGCAGGAGGCAGTGAATTTGTCACTTGTGAACCTGCTCACTTACCCATATGTGCAAGATAGGGTGGCTAAGGGAACTCTGAAATTGATGGGTGGACACTATGATTTTGTCAATGGAAAATTTGAGCTTTGGGGCGTCGACTTGGGCATTAAACCCCTTCTCCACATCTGAGTTTCCAACTCTATCAATATGGTCCTGCTTTTTTTGTTGTTGTTGCTTTTTTTTGTTTTTCTTGTTTTAAGTGGGTTTTTCGTGTTTGGTCAAGAGCAATAATTTACTAGGAATAAGAGTAGAGCAGTCTCTTCATGCTCTCTTCCATATGTTTGCGTGTCCAAATAATTGTAATGTTTACTTTCTTAAAGTGTTCTTTATTATGAACTGATATCAATATCATGTAATTATGTTAAATTTGAAGTTTTAGTATTTTTTTTAGCGTAACTGGGAATATACGTTAAATTTTACTGACTTTTACATTCTGATTTCCTTTCTTTGCACGAATTTAAGATGCAAACACAAAGTAACCGAAATCAAGCTTAGAAAGCATGCCTTCTCAACTCAGGAAACCAAGATGAGGAATGACTTGAGCTTGATCATACACCCTCAAAACATAATGAGTTGTAAATTCCACACTACATATCAAGTCTGGAAAGACAAAATGAAAAACATTTATTCCTGAGTGCTAAGGACAAAATTAAAATGTTAAAAAATAAAATTTTAATGAAAGTATAGGGATGTAGTTAATATTTTTTGAAATGATGTTTTATAAATAAATCAAATTAATCTGAGAGTTGATTAGAAAAATTAAAATATTTGAAAACAAAATACGATTAGATGTAAAGTAAAATTTCTACAAAGTCAAATTTTACCCACTTTTTCATTCCATATTTCTTAATTTACCCACTTTTTCATTCCATTTTTCGTTGCTCCATAGCACTCGCTATCACTCCAAGTTACCCCCACTAAGAAGCAATTTCTCTAATGTATATTTTGTTAAATTGTTAACCATTAATTTATTAAAAAAAATAAGAGTAAATTACACTTTTTCACTCATAGTTTGTCTTAAATTTTACTTTGGTCCCTAATATTTCAGATTGAACAATTTAATCCCTACACTTTAAATTTATCAATTTCAATTTGGTCTTTCTGTCTAAATTTTCGTTAATTTTTTTTCTACGTGTACACATTAAGAGACTGATAAGTGTCTCAAAATTATTAATTTTAAAAGAAAGACTAAATTCCAAATTAGGATAAACTGTCAATAGGTCCTAATAGTTGGATTTAATTCCTATCAAGTCACATTGAAAATATGTCCCAATAAAATCATTGCTAAAAATAATTTTTGTGTGACGATTTTTTGTATGTTGCTAAAAATTGACAATTAGTGACCTTTTTTGTCATAATTTTTATAAATTGTCGTTAAAACTTACAATTAGTGACTTTTTTTGTGATGAAATTTTCAAACTATTGTAGAAAGTAGAAAATTAGTGACTTTTTTTGTAACGATTTTTTTAAACTGTTGCTAAAACTTTATAATTAGTGATATTTTTTGCGATAATATTCAAATTGTTGCAAAAAATGAACAACTAATGAGGTGTTTTTAATAGTGTTTGATGAAAAAAGCTATTAATTATAATATAACCTATTAGACGAAAAGTCCACGTATGAGGACCTATACGTAGGAGCATCTCTAACGGTAATAGGCATTTTACCTATCTAAACATTACTATAAAGTATATATTTTATTTTGCCTATCAATTATTTCATGTTTCTACTCCAACCATGCTCTTTATTTTAGCTACTCATCTGAAACAACAGGAACCATAGTAAAATTTGAGTCAAACAACAAAAGTTGAAAGTGTAATTTATCCAAAAATTAATCTATTAGAGATATCGGTAATTTTATTCTTTGAAAGCTTAATTTTGAAGGGATGGAATGTGATGTGCGGCTCACATGTTAATTTTCATCAATTTCATTAATACTGAATGGACAGACAAGTAATAAGTGATAAACCATATGCTAAGATTATAAATAATAAAATTTCTCTATAGCAATTTAGTGTTTAAAATGTTATGCCCTGGAGGACATAATATTTTAGTGATTAATAAAGGGGACATTTCTTCCTTCTTATCTTGTGTTATCACATTGGTCTTTTTATTTTTTATTTTTCTCAGCAAAATGTAACATGTTAGGAAAGATGATAATATTAAAATATTACAAAGCTATCACATGGGGTCATCTTATCACATGGGTCTGTTTATTTTAATTGTTGTTTTAGTCAACGAATCTATCCAGTATACATATTTCTTAAAGTTGAATTATCAGTGGATTGTTTTCAGATAATGAAAAAATATTTGGTGTACAAATATGTTTTTGGCTTATATATATATATATATATAGAGCTTTGGGTGTTTTCAGGGGAAGGTGGTGTTTGTTTTTATAAATAAATAATAATCAGTGTATTTGGTTTGAATTTTTTGAATTAAATTTTTTAAAAATTGAGTTTTTTAATTTTTGTGTTTTTTTATTTTTAGTGAATATTTTTTAAAATTTCATTTTTTTTTTACTTTTGTAGATGTACCTTACTTAGATGTTATCTAAAAAGTAAAAATTTGTGAAAAAATATTTTAAAAAATTAATTAATAGATAAAAATACAAAAAATATACTGAATTCTTGTAATTTTTTATTTATATTTTTGGTATTTAGTGAATTTTTAAAAGATATTTTTTACAATTTTTTTTTTTTACTTTTTAGGTGTATTTATGTTAGGTATGTCTAAAAAGTAAAAAAAATGCTTAAAATATTAAAAAAATTCAGTAAAAAAAAAAACACGAAAAATAAAAAAGTAAAATTTTCTAAAAAATATTTTTTAAAAAATGGAACCAAGCAAGCTGATAGAACTCTTTGGTACAGCTTATTAGAATTGTTTATAATTTAATTTATTTTTTTTAATTTGTGTCAATTGTTTGGTGCAATTTTCACTTATAATTTATTAAGTAGAATTATTTCAAATAAATTGAAAAAAATTAATTATCTAAAGTTAAAAACAATAATATATTTTTTGTTTCAACTTTCCAATTATTAGTTTTAGTTTACAATTGTAAGAGGGGTTAGCTCGAGCCCATCTAATTGATTAAACCCAATCAGAAAGCCCACAATTAGTGGGCTCGAAGACACTATTATCGAATGGGCCGGATTGCTCTAATCTCGAAAGGGTTCGGATCCGTGAACCTAGAGACCTATTTGAGCTCAGACTTGAAAGGGTTTTGAGCAAACCTAGATATCTAAGCATTTGGAGGTTAAATTAGCCTATATCCAGATCTAGGTGGCACGACCTAGGGAGTCCATAAGATTCGACGATATTCGTGGCATAGCATTCTCTTGATTTGCTCCTAACCATTTGGGATGATTGGGGATCGTTGGTTTGGTGTGACTAAGAAAAAGGGTTAACTGAGAAGCTCTATCTATGAGGCGATGACTTCCTTGGACAAAATTGTAAGAGAGGGTATTCCCCCATATGCTTTGCACATGGGGCTCCACCATCATGAGTTGCTCATATATAGCACTCATCTATAGATTTACAAGGAGTATTTTTGGAGAGAACTAATTTCCATTGTGCATTATTTCTTTGAGAGTGAAAGTGAGAGATATATGAGAGAGTCTTGCTATTATTTTTTCTCTAACTATTTTACATTTTTCTTCATCCAATCTTTTATCTCTATTATCTATTTCCTATTATGTTCATAGTTGTTATCGTTGAAAAATCTAAGTCTCCCATCATTTTTAGAGAATTCGAATTTTCTTACGATCTTTGAATTTTTCGATAAGCCTTCAAAGTTTCCGATGAGTTTTCCAGTAACATTCAAGTTTTCCAATAACGTTCTTGGACCCCCTCATACAACAATAAACTGTACTAAATATGCCCAATGTAGAAGCCCAATTTACGTCTCGTTAGATAGATCTGTCAGGTAGATTAGGTTCATATATAATATTTAATACAATGTAACAAGTTCAAATCTATCTATGATCTAAAAAGTTAGTTTCTGAGTTTTAACGACACTTGTAAATTTACATAAATATTTTATTTTATTCTATTATTAAAAAAAATGATTCATCTTCTTCTTAGCTTTTTTTTTTAGAAATATAGGTGCATGTAATGCATTCGTCTTAATTTGAATAGAAAATGTAATGGTGTGTTTAATCCACAAATTACAAAAGACTCTGTGATTATTTTTAATTGACATAAAATTAGTACATATGACCAATTTGGCAGGTAGTATAGCAAAATTTGCCCTAATCATATTCACTAAAACACAAATGAAAAATTATGTATGTCCTAGTTGTGAAGATTTGTGGTATTAGTTATATTGGTGCTTAATTACAAAGTTTTAGTTGTGGTCAAATTAGTGGTAAATGTAGTTATGACGCTATGGTGGCTGATTATAAGACTTCTGTGCTTTTTTTAGTTCTGATCAAATTGGTTTTAATTATTAAACTTTGTGCTGTTTTGTTATGAATTGAACTCATCTTAATGAGGTTTTTTGGTGTTTTTTTAATGAATCCAACTGATTTGGATTATGACTCAAATCAAAGCAAAATTTGTCCTAAATATATTCACTAAACACACAAACAGCAAGAGTTTTGAAAAATTATAGAATTGAATACAATTGTCTCATTTGAGATGCGTTTCACCAAATGTCTAAGTCTTATTTTATATGAGATAATTGTGTTTAATTTTGTATATGTAGAATAATTGAAAAATTCAAGTTTCATGTATGGCATTGGGAGGTGATTTCTTTTCATTTCCCTTAGATCTGGATTAGAGTATGACCTTCTCTAACCCTTCAAAAATTAAAAAAAAATAAAAATAAAAAATGTTTTGGGTGTTTCTTGGGAAAGTTTTGTTTCACAATATAGAAACCAGATTTAGCATGTGTTACACGAGGTGCAAATCATGTTTCACTTCACTAACTTTAGTAACTACAGACGAACATATATATATGGGAACTTGGCTTATAAATACAAATCAAAGCAAGAGATAGTTTTTGTGGGTGAGAGGTGTGGTTAGAGGTAGTCCGGGAAGATGGCAGGCACTTCAATGGCTTGGGATCACCGGAGGTGGAGAGGAGGAGGTCAAGGCAAGCTTGGAGAGGGAGAGGTTGGCAGTGATAGACCTTTGAACACTAATGTAAAGTATGAGAGAGTGTTTAAGCATGAGACTTGGTTGTATTGTTGTTGTTGTGTCTCGTTGCATATACGATACGTTACATAGGCCGCAGGAGTGTTGGAGCCCAAACAAACTGTTGGACAGGTGGCTCATTCTCCTCAACTCTGCCAGAAGTGATATAAGCCCTTCTGCCATCTGTGGCTTGCCGGCAGGCGGAGAGCAACGTTTCATGGCAGACAGAAAGTAACGTTTTGTATATGCATCGGATGACA